GGCTTGTCAGCATCTACATCACTCTTAGTGATATTGGCACATTCCCAATGGAACCACCAATCACAAACATCACACGTCACACCTCCTTTGACTTACCTTCAGCAAGAACCACATTTGCCTGACAATTCAATACACACCTACTACTACTACTACTACATACTACCTCTGAAGCCAAAATTACATGGCTATAAGTAGAAAGACTCCATTTTTAATTTCTTTCTCGGTATCCAGGAAACAGGATATGCGAGGAGGTAATGTGTGCATGTAACTTTACTGAGTTACAGCACAGTTTACTAGTTATCTGCGCTACTGATTTTCTGGTACTGCACCGTGGCAGCCAAACCCTTCATTCTGATTTAATTTCTCGTCTTATACAATATTATACTACACAGCAACTGAGACTACTGACGTTGAAAATAACTTTACATGGACTTGAATTTATCTAAACTGAAAAATTTTTTGTAAAGAATTTCAAATCTTTAGTTTCTCTGCTTCATAGCCTTTGTATATGTGAAGTTAGTACTGACAGAAAATATTCCTTTCCATATACCTCTTGAAAAATTATTCTATGATGGTGGTCTGTTGAATCAAATGAAAACATAACCTGTGAATGTAGGACTGAGATTCTGATGGTGGTGAGTATGAAGATCACACTGATGATGGCAGCAGCAAACACCTCTGCAACGTTGATAACCTTCTACAAATCTACACAGTGCAACAACCCGTAGGTTATCTTCATACTTTCACTAGGAATGCAGTGTCAACGCATTTAGCAAAAAATTTGGAATGTGCGTGATTGAGAAGTGATAGACGTAATCTTACCTGGAATGCCATCACTATGTATTGATGCGGGACAGTCTCACTATGTATCCAGCACCCACATTATCACTTCAAGCAATCTGACTACGAATGTGGGGTATATGTATATATCAGTAGAGTCTCTAAATACTCTAACAGACTGTCTCATTATGATTACAGTGTCTGTATTTCTGGAACATTGCTATTGGGAAGTGGTGCCAGCACTGATTTCAAGATACTCAGACTATGGAGTAGTGCATGTGTACACACACACACACACACACACACACACACCAAGATATTCTAAATGGGACTGCTGTATCTGCACTTCTCAAGAATCTAAGAATTCAGTATCTATGTATCCTCCGGAGACACTCAGCATGAGTCCAGTTTCCGTATTTCTTAAACAGTCCAATTAAGAATGTGTTGTTCAAGGCATTCTCCCTAAAAATATGGTGTCCACATATTTCTGAAGGCACTGTCACTAGGAATAGTCTATGCATTTCTCTAACATATTCCAGTTACACATATCCAGCAAAGATGCTCAGCACTTCTATAGTATCAGAAACATCAACTTCCAATGTACCACAAAATTAGTGAGATTTGAACAAAGTTCATTATCAGATACATTTATAGTGTAAATAAAAAAATTTCAGACAAAAATTAAAGTTCCTAATCAGACAACTTTCTTAATAAAATCCATGGCCTGCAACAAGAAATAGGCGATGATCAGAATTAATGGACTCTAGATTTCATACCAAAATTCTGCAGAAGGAACAAATTAACTATACATAAATGTCTGCTGTTGAGATAGCTTACTACAAGCATAATAAAGTTCTTCCTGCATAATGTTTTATTCCAAACACGCATCTCTCACACAAAGGCGCAACATGCACATGCTTCTATCTATAATCCAACATACTGTAGGACCAGCTGCTCAGCATCCTCTTGCGTCCTCAGGTCAGCTGTAATACGAGCAGTAGTCTCTCCTTGTTGCACAAAACTGCAAGAGGCCATGCATGCATTTCTAGAAGTGAAAACAAAAGTTTTTGAAGATTTCCGTCTTCTGGGCTGTTGCGCTGTGTAGTTTGGTTGATGTTAACAAACGTTTCAGAGGTCATACTGCCTCCGTCATCAGGGCCCCCTGATGACGGAGGCAGTATGACCTCTGAAACGTTGGTTAACATCGACCAGACTACACAGCGCAACAACCCAGAAGATGGAAATCTTCATACTCACCGCTGTGAAAACCTCAAACCCTACAAAAGTTTTTGACTTGTCAACAAAATCACAGGTAACAGAGAAAAGTGTGGGAAAGGCCAAATTTATTGCAAAATGCAGGTTACAGTCTCATGTAAGACTACTGTTCTATGTGGTAATGTTCTGCAAGAAACAATGAAATGCATGGAGCTGAACAAGTGACTTGTACTTCATATAAATTATTTAAAAAGTATTACTTGTTTATCTCATTATGATCCAATGATGAAGGCACCTTCATTAACTGGCCTTTGTATCACACTCCTATTTAAAATTGTAATCATTTTCAAACAGATTCTAAAAATTATAATGAAGCTGTAATATACAGGACTGGCCAACTCTCCTTAGCTAATTACATTAACATCTGAGTACTATTATTTCATTTTAGGCTTAATCTTCCAATTTTCATATGACTTTGCTTCTTATATCTTGTGTTACATGAGAAAACCACAAACATCTCTCATAAAATAAAGCAACAAAGATGGGAAAGGAATATAGACCACAATGTTTATCTTTGTGTAATATTGTCCATTACCCACGTAGCTCAAAAGTCTCAGATTACAATGTTTTATTTAACTATATGAAGTCTGAGGTTTTGATGGTAGTTATGACATTGGCAACCACCTACAAGGTTATGAAGCATCACAACCCATTAGACTACAATCCACATTTTCACTATCATGGAAACCTCAAACTGTTAAATTACCTGCTTCATACAGCTGTGTGTCAGTAGTCGCTCGCTGTTACAGCAGATGGTGATGAAACCAAGTCCTTGTCATGTGTCAGCATCACAGACCTGGAACATTTACAAAAACAGTGTAAGCAAACAAGGATATTTAATTTTGATAGACATAAATCTATGTTTACGCTTTCACACTCATTCGCCTACTTTCTGACAAGATGTGAAATTTGTAGCTGACTGTCCTGATGATGGGGGCAGCAAACATCTCTGAAATGTCAGTAAATTTTATGTCTCCAGGATTTGAAATTTATCTGCAATACTATACAGAGCAACACTCCAGAAAGCAGCCATCTTCAAACTCGTCGCCGTGAGGACCTCAGATCTCAACTTACCTTTATTTTATGATTAATTTTTATATAAATTAAATTTCTGTTTGTTTCTTTGTCACAATATGTTAGCATCTTGTACAATTGGCATCTCTCTTCAACACAAATTATTTCTTTCCCGCACTCATAATCACTCACAACCCAGTAACCGGCAGTCAGCAGGAGGAAAAAAAAAACTGTTATTAGGCAACGTAGTCTGTAGTATAGTTTAGTTGAGTTACAGGAACTAAACTAAACTATAAGCAGCACATAACAAGAAAATACTATGGAAATGGAAACATTTCATTACTTCACTATAAATTCTGTTTGTTAACTTCGAGTAGATCATTTTTGAGTCTTAAGACATGTACTAGATCCATTTTATACCCCCTCCTTGTTTGACTGTTAGACAGTCTTTCTAGTGCCTGGTTCTTCAGGAAAGGGACTGCGTTTCATTCTGCTTTTGCAAAGGGTGTAGGCAAGGCCAACCTATTTCCTTCTACCCTTGTCTTGAACTACAAGTGTCTTACAAAATCAAGACATTTAAAAATAAAAATGAAAACTATTGATTGTTTTTCCTCACTCTGAAGAAAGGCAAGTAGCATGATATGGACACACATACAAATGCAGGATGACTGATAGCCAAAAAGGATGTTGGAGTGGAAACAAGTGAAGTGGAAAAAAGGATGGACATATGAAAATAAATTGAAGAGCTGATGTGGTTAAATCCATGGAATTCAAAGAACTGGCAGGAGACTAGAATGAAAAACTACAATTAAAAGGCAGCAACACCAAATATACACACGTTTATAAAATCATATATCTGTATACAAATAACTCATTGGTTACTAATCAGGGTTGAAGTGGAAGGCAGTTTGTTCTTTTGCAACAGTGGTAAACACCTACAAGACCGCAAGTGACATCTTCACTGCCCTGACAATCTTTGATCTCAATTACTTCTGGCTATCTTTATGAACATATTAATTCTTGTTACAAATGTACAGAGATTTGTTAACAACCATCATTACTTGTGTAGTCTTTTTTAAAATACTTTTTTTAGTTCATTTATGGTTGCCAAAAGCTTGTATGTTTGGACTTGATTATATTTCTTTAGGGATAATTTTGTAAAGTTATTCATTTTGTGCTTAAATTAACATATGTTGCAGTGAAAATAAACATCATCAGAGAATTATAATAGCAATGTAGGGTCTGAGGTTCTCATGGTGGTGGGTTTGGAAACAGCCATCTTCTGGATTGTAGTCTGGTAGGAGTTGACCACCATTTCAGAGGCCCTGAAACGGTGGTAATCTCCTACCAGACTACACAGCACTATAGCCCACTTAAACCAGAAGCCATATTCTAAATTATCAATGCCCACAATGTTATCTACAGATAGTGGTAATACAACAGGTGTGTTCATATCACGACCTCTCATAATATATACACATGGCTAAAACTATGGAATGCCTGCCAAATTAACACATTACCTATATTAGTTAACTCTCCAACAAATTGAGTAAGGCTGCTCCTAGATTAGGTCAACTTAATTTGTTCAGTATTCTGCACATTTGTATGAAAAACATGGTAAACGCTACAACCTAACATTGCGTATTTTCCAACTGAAGATTTCTGGCAAAAGTCCCAACACGTTTGATATGGCACGAAATTTAATAATAATTTCTATTTACCTGGGCACCTGTCTTCATTAATGTGGAACGGAGGTCTGTAGGCACTACACACTTATATCTAGAGACACGTTATTAGCAATTTTCATAAACTAACTAAGGTAAAACTGCATTTCAGAAGATTTAATTTTAAATTCTTAGAAACGCGCCAAGTACTGCTTTTATACAGCACGGCTAATTACTTCGTGTCAGGTATCACAGGTTTTCGGCATCGGCCATCTTGAAAGCACGGAACATTAGTCAAAGAGCGGAAGAACGCTAATCAACTTGTGTCACTCATCAAAGTAAAAATATGTATTCACATCGTACTAAATACATTCTGTGTAACATCAATTCTACAGCTTTTTGCATCTGAGGATTACTTCCTGCAACAACTACATACATTGGCAACATGGGACTCAATTAGAAGAATAAATATATGGAATTTCTACATAAGTCTCCCTAGATTTCAGCTGTTCAAGAAATCTCCATATTACCACCAAACATAAATATCCTATTCAAGTACCAACTTAATATAAATATTAAAATAATCACCCACATAAGTAACTTCAACTTTAAAAGCTATTATTTAAATCTGTGTCAAGATTTCCCTTGTAATAAGAGAGTTTCAAATCTCGCGCCAAACATCACAGCTGATTTCAACCATTTACATTGGAGAGGGAGCACTAAACATGGCTATATTGTTTGCCACGTTGTATTTTATATTAACATTACTACCGTATTTTATACAGATATGTGATAGCGAAACAACTGTCCCATGGTATGAATCTCTACCTGCTGTTGCAATGGACTACAAGGTCCATATTGATCCCGGAAAGGAAGATTGTTACTTCCAATATGTAAATCCCGGCGCAACTTTCTACGTCAGCTTTCAAGTAAGTAGATTTTATTTTATAGTTGATGAATAAAAAAGTTCAGTGATTTCAGAAAGCCCAAGTTTTAATATTTCGATGCACCCAAGGCGTTCATGTGTTTGTAGTTGTTTTTTTCCAATTCAACTACTCAATGTCAAAATATATAACATATGTTTACATTTGTATGCAGCACATGTCAATGGCCCAAGTAGTGTTTTGTTTTCCATTTCTTCAAGATTATCGTGACTAATACACAGGTAATGAATGTGATACATTAAATTTCTACATGTATGTTGGCATTCCAGTTAACTGTGTACAGATGTATAGTAGAGACTTCTAATTATTTAAAAGTTTACACTTATATTTGTTGTGGAACAAGTAGTGTCCTTTTATCCGTAATTCATGCGTTTTTCAGTTATTTCATAGGGATGTAAATCAAATGGTATGGTGTACATGGTAATTTTCTCAAAAATGGGTTGTTTTTTAATAAATGAATGATGTTAAGACAATGTAGCATAGCCAACATGTCAGACAAAATAATGTATACCTAACAGTGATGTTTCAGTTTATTAATATTCGGACAATTCACTTACTGCTCCTGAAGAACCTGCCATTTGGTGTATGACCGTCTCTGAACAGATTGAACATCGGTGCAAAAGACTTTCATTTGATTGCAGTACAAACCAGTAGAGTCTGAGAAAATTTCCGTACATTTTCAGGTATTGAGAGGCGGTGATGGCATGGCTGGGTTTGCTGTGAGACATCCCAATGGTCAGATTGTGCATCCATATCAGTGGCGACCAAATGCAGATTATCAGGATCAAGCTTCAACTGGAGGCTACTACAGTGTCTGCATTGATAATCAGTTTTCCAGATTTGCAGCAAAACTAGTAAATCTGTACCTTACTGTCATTAGGTACATAAATTTAAATAACATTGACTTTCTAAATAGGTACAGAACTGAGAAACTGCAGAACCTTATAAATGAAAGATAAACATGCTTCTCAGTTGCAGCACAGAATATATAGATAAGGCAGGAATCCAGACAGATTTTTCAAAATATTTTGTTATAATTAATATGTCACTATTATTTATTCAATGTTGGGTGTGTATGTATCTACTTAACTGTTACTATTTTCTCTTTTCTACAGGTATGACCAGTGGGATAAATTTACCAAGGAAGTTGAAGAATTAAACCTTAGTGTGGGAAATTTTACTGTAAGTATAAAGTACAAAATACATAAGTAGAATCATGTGTAATTGTATGAACAGTTTTAAATTCCTTGAGGGTCTACAGCAGACAGAACTTCCAAAATCTGTAATTTCAAGTTGCTGTTCTTAATTCTGCCAGGAATTTAACAGTTATAAGGTTATGAGGATTCTGTTATGTAATGCCCATAACAGGCAACAATGCTTTTACTGGAAAGGAAGAAGACAGTTATAAGGTAGTAGTGAGGGATTAATGATGGAAATTTAAATCCAAATCTGAAGAACAATTAGAAATGTGTGCAAATTTAAGTCTCCATATGCAAAAAACTTTATAAATCATTCATTATTTATGAATGTATGGTAGAGGGCAAAGGAGTAACAATACCTCATTTCATTGCACTTTACAGATAGAAAATATACATAAATTTGTTAATGAGAAACTTTCTTTTTAGTTATGTTGTTGCATCACAGGTAGCCATAGACTATCAGAAAGTGTGTTTATAACAAAAAAAAAAATAGTTTCATTATGTTTCCTATCAGACTAACTACTAAGAAACAAACTGGCATTCCTTTTGTTTCATCAGGAGTCCATTAAAGGAGTGGAGCGTAACATCAACGAAATGTTGCAGTATCAGCATCACACCAGAGGAAGGGAAACTTGGGACTATAATCTGTTAGAAGTCAACAACCGCTATGTACAAAACTGGTCTATTGCTCAGATTCTTGTCATAACTTTTACCACTGTGCTGCAAGTTTATTTTGTTCGCAAGCTTTTCGAGATAAAGAATGCCAGACCAAGGGCATGAATTTGTGATGTTTCATATCAACATTAAGGACGATGAATGGAGCTTAGGAATACAGGGATCTGATTTTTCTTTAAAATTAAGTTGTTTACAAACTGCAGTATTATGAGTAATGTCAGTATGATTTATGATGAGATAGTTTTGACAAGCATGTACAATACAGAATTTAAGTGTATCTAGCCAAGAAAATGTGGAACAACTGAAGAGAGGAAGTGCTTGCTTACTAGGTCACCTTGGTAAAGGTATGTTTTTTATAGCTACAAGTAGAAATCATTCCTGCCTTTTTTATTATTTAAAGCAATTTTTAAATCTATTTAAAATGGTGAAATAATTATGGTCTGGCACTGTTATGACATGCACATGTATTTTCTTACACTATTTTATATTTGCTAACACGCAAGTACTAAATTATGTGACTGTTATTGGTAATTTGTGTTTAACTTGTTTTGACAAAATGTATATACTTTTAAATAAACATATTTTTATAACATTTTGTGTGAATACAAAGTTTTAGTCAGAAAACCTGAATGAAAAATGCCACTTGGGAGCCTTAGATGTAGATGAGAGGTCGTTAAAATGGATCCTAAGAGAATTTGAGAGTGTGGACTGGATTCACCTGGTTGAAGAATGGTTCCACCAATGGACTCCTGTGGACAAGATGGCAAAACTTTTGTTTCCATAAAAACCAGAGATTCTTTATTAATTGGATGATTATCAGTTTTTGAAGGACTGTTCTCCATGGAATCATTTAAGAAAGTGAAAGAACTTAATTCAGAATCCACAATCTATTATAAAATGAAAGTTACCTTTTTCTACTAATTATGAACTTACAATTGATTACGTCCAGTAAATGAATAGGTAATCTTACTGCCACCTTTCTTTTAAGTATGTGACTTGACTTCATAAACCAGAAAGCAAATGGACTGAATATATTTTGAGAACACAAAGTGTAAAGTGGACAATATTTTACTTATTTATTTATAAAATATACAATATAAATTTATAAGTCTGTGAATCAACAATAATTCAAAACATACTTTTCAAAAATGATGAACATATTTATACAAAAATATTTATAAGAGTATTTATATATACATCTAAATGGAATGTAATTCTAATATAACAGAGTAAAAAGCTATGGTGCTCCAAACTTACACACAATAGGAGCATATAATAAATTCAGGCTCTCTTATTTAGTTAATGCTTAACAATCTTTACAAAACTCCATTTTTCAATCATATTTGCATTTTACAAACAATACAATTAAATACATTTCATGATTTGCCATCTTCCTTTTCCATGATAATTTACCTAACTCTAAGCAATTTTTATTTTGGTGTGCAACAAGTAAGTGACAAACCTTTTTATTTTTCAAAAAATGTTAATCCTTTTACAAAAAAATGATGAACACATCTGATCATCCTAGGTCTTAAGTACTGTTTACTTCACCAATTAATCCTGCAGTTCTGACATACTTTAATTATCTCAAAATGACATGGCTTGTAGAAACATGCTGCAGAAAGAAAATCATAACTACAGAACATTTTATAACAAATTCAAATGACTTAAACATTTGCAAATTTCTTTTAAACATACATGTAGGATAATGTAACCAAATATTTTACTATAATATGAATTATGGTATATTTAACAGACACTGTATGGTTTCCAGAAATAAAAAACAGATTTTCTTCACTTTATTGCCCAAATTTATTTCATACTGTTTGTGTGAGAGCTAGAAGGTGGCAGTTCATGGTTAACAGCCTCATCTGAGGCAGTTATTTATCATCTCACATCATCCATAGTGTCAATCCCATGAGCTTCTTCACTTTAAATATCAACATTACACTACAAACACTGAATATCATCACATTCATAAACTGCTCATAGTATACTTTTTGTATCTCCTATTTTGGCAAGATGGTGACTGTCACTTTCTCTCAATATTATAGATCTTTTCCATGAACAAAACTGGAATTTATATACATGCTTTGTCCTGCAGTACCTACACGTTTTAGTCCAACTTTCATTAATTTTATCCTTTGCTTGTCACACATCATTTTGCAAACTTTACAAACTTATCAAGGCTTTAGTAAGAAATTAGCCTACTGCTAAGGGTGGCCAGCACATGTGGCTTCGGCTGATAGGAATGCTGGATGCATTCACTCTTCTGATGCAAGTTCTGTATATTCTACTCTTGAACAATATCATAGGTCTTGCCACATAACTGTTGATGATAGTCCCTGAAGTCTGGCAATGTACTTTTTAAATGTACCATACTCATCAAATCCAATCACAAGAAAATTCTGTTTATCTACTTCCTCCACTTCTTATGTGACTGAGTCAAAATATCCTTAATTTGCCATTACAGATCACACGCATTATGCTCTAATGTATGACAATGATGCTGACCATTGTCATGGAGATGTCTTTACCCTATGTCCAGCAGATTTACAAATGTCTTCAGCTTCCCAGCTGCACTATCAAGTGGCTTTATTTTTTAGCCAGTCCCAACAAAGCATCATTCTCAGATATGACTGCATTAACGGTCAGAGCAACATTTGAATTACACTGTTACAACAGACCAGATAGCAGCATCTCTTCCTTGTACTACACAACCTTACCTTGGTGCTTCACTCAGTCACTTGGTCTGTTTCTCCTTCCGCTGAGCTTCAAGAAAGTTTCCAGACAGTGCCAGCAATCTGTAGCGCTGCCTGAGGTTGCGTGCCCTCACATGAGCTGATAAAACTTCTACAGTATGATTACCAGGAAACCAGCCTCTCTCTCCATCACGGATACGTTCTCCTTGATACCAGCCTATACAAATTGCCACAATACACTAATGCTCATCTATTTTCAAAAGTCAATCAATACCTTCTCCTGCATTACATAAGTTTCATTTTATTCTACATTCCTGTCATTTCCAACATTGTATTATTACATAATATTCAATGTTTAATGCAGAACAGAAACTAAGAAGTATGCACACAAAAAACTGCTATAAATTTGTAGTGACCAAAATTTATGAACATTTTTATGTCACATTCCATACATAACATGTAATTATGTGTATATCCAAGCATTTGCAGATGAATGGGTTTTAAACCTTACCATCAGTTATTTTCCTAAGCACATTAACCACATCTGCCACCTCTAAGGACAGCTCATCTGGCTGACAAGCTACATATGGGTGAATGGCAGTAACTTGAGGACAGTCCCATTCTTCATACACAGTCTCATTAGGGTTATCAGAAACAGGAGGACTCACTGCTTCTAACCATCGTTGGCGATCTGACTCCACAGAACATGATAATATCTGGAAAACACAGGAAAAATTAATATTATAACAACATATTACTGAAACACAGAAAATGTGTTGGCAAAAAAGAAGTGTGTCCACAAGACATTGTAAACAACAGAGGAAAAGTGTGCTCTACTTCAGGGAGCATGAGGTATCCAATACAGTTCTTTGCACATTTTCATCACTAGATGCTTATTTTACTGCACAGTACCACATGACACAAAACACCGATTTGTATCAAACACTTTGGGGATATCAGAATACATACAAAATTCTGGTCAAAAATATTTTAGGGAAGAGAAATATTTTGGGGTACTAAGGAGGTTTGACACACATTAGGTAATGTTGGGTATACTGCAACTGTGCATGCTTGTCACATTTTCATACTGACTAGTATTCCTTAATACTAGTCAGTAGTCAGTCACTGGGGTGATGCACAGGATTTTGAAGGATCAGATCTTGCAGGCTTCTGATGGTTAACTAGTACATGGGTTTATAAAATGTCATATGCAAATTTAACATGTGAAGTTAGAATGATTGATCACTTATCACCAAAGAAAGAAATTAATTAATGCTTTCATCTTGTTATTTTCCTCAATTATAGTTACTCTACAATACTGTATTTCAAGAATTACATCATAATCATACTGGGAAAGTTTATGACATATATTACAAAATATAAGCCTGTGAGGTATTTCATGATATGCTCTTCATGGTGATTTTTACAAATGTCAGTCAATCAGTATGAGCAATAATGATGTCCACAACTGAGTAAGAGAAAAGGAGAACAACACAGTGTCACCTACACCAACATTTACCTTATATTTGTATCACCTTACCATTTCAACAGTCTTTTTCTCATGATTCTGAAGCATTGTAAGGAGCATCAAATTGCGCCCACTCTCAGATGTGAACTTGACAGGAAGATTTGTCGTTCCTTCGGCACTTGTCATCTGAACCAGGTTTCTTGGGCAGTAGTCCACTACAGCATAGCACTCATCACCCGTGGCATCAGGGGCAGTTTTTCTGAAATGTAGGATATATCATATTCTAATTTGTAACAAACAGAAATATTCAGAAACTACCAAAAGAAAAAACATATATATTAAATATTAATGAAATCATTTTTAATTTCATCATCTGATGGAAGCCCTGACAGTGGGGACAAAGATGGTCCCTGAAATATCAATGATCTTTAACCAACTGACATCAATGAGAGCCCAAGAAGATTTTTATAGCAGCATTGCTTTATTGTATTAGCTTCTCACTCAATCAGTCTGGCATGCTCCAAGCATATATATAGGTCTGATTCCAAAATTACTGCTTATTTGCCATGCACTTAATTCTTAGTCTATAATGTCAGTCTACCTTGTGACTTGTGCCTGTACCAGAAGAATGGTGAGACATTACAATAGTACACTGAGTGGAAGTCAGTTTGTAGGATAACCTTTTTCTATGCAATTTCAACATCAGAAAGTACAAGACACAAATGATATACATATGGACTCCATTCTGTCAGCATTTCAGTACAGTATAACTTACTACAGAAAGTTATTACATATTACTGCTTTTTGGAGTTTATATTCATTCACAAGTTATAATACAAGAAAAAAATTCTAGAGCAGAGCATAAATTAATCGCATATTTTCACAACACCTAAGGTTACTGGAATAAGTCTTCTAGTAAATACCATATCACACTGAATTCAGTGGACAGTACGAAGTTCTGTCTTAAATTGATAAATTCCAATATATCTTTCTTAATCATTTGCCCTCATGACTTCAAAATTACCTTTTCTTTTTCGTAATGACAAGCAGGTCTGTGAAGAGGAATATGTGTACTTGGACTCTAGAGAACTTTTTACCAAAGGTAAGTTTGCCCTCATCTCCTCGCCAGACCACCTGTGTGAGTTCACCCTTCTTGACAAGCCACCGAACACTTGAAATTATGGGTACTGCTTTTATTTCATTTGGAAAATATAGCTGTCGACTAAGGATCAGAATCTCTTCCAAGCGTTCCATTTTGCGTGCATCTTCATTGCAGTTCTGTACAATCTGTAACAGAGACAGAAAAAAGGGTCTTCAAACAAACAACATTATTAAACAAACAAAAGTGCATGTGCAGCCTACATCTATTTTCTACATGAGTTCTTTGTTATTCTGCACATCTCACTAGTTTTGTCATTTATTGTAGACAATCTACTGTTGCAAAGGTGAAAGCACAAAATGACCTCAATCTCAATTACTGCTTGACATAAATGGTGAATAATGTAATCACATGACTGAATATGCATAACTCACTAAAGTTGCAAGTTGTTGCACAAAAACCTCACACATATGGTGAAATTACTTCAAGTAAACTTACTTTGTTTAAAGTTGCAAGTGCCAGACGGCATGTGTTGTATTCATCATCTTGTGGATCCAGGCGTGTTAGAACAGCATCAATAAGCAATGGTAGCCGTGTTATGCGCTGCATTGGTAGC